AGCACCTTCTCGTGCAGATTGATCGGCATGGTGGACAATAGAATCGCTTGGTCGATTTTTTGAGATCGCCATTGGGTCTGGAAGTGTTCTGATACCCGTCGATACCAAGAGCGATAAGGATCTTTTGGGTCTGTGAGATGGGTTTTGATGCTGTCTCGAATGCGAACTGCTTGGTAAGTAGAGTTGTTGACGGCCAAGGAATTTCGGGATTCCAAAACTTCCCTCATCCGATTTGAGTCTTCGGGAGTAGTGCAGTATGGTTGGATGGTCGGAGTTAGTACTTTCGAGGCTGAAAACGGGCCCTCTGGGAGGGTTCCGTCGAAGGGAAGGGCAGGAATGTATCGATTCGCCATGTTTAGAGTGGTTGAGATTGTGATTCACAAAGGCTCGTATTGAGGAAAGGAAGTTAATCAGGAGTGTTGCAGTAACTGGTGCAGTTGCTAAGGGAATTTTTCAAGAGGGTGGTGATTTATGAACTTCCAAACGTCGATTGCTAAATAGCGTTTGAAAGTCCCTTGGCGGCGGGCAAGTTGTTACGTATGAAATTTAGAATTAGGTTAAAAAGCCCAAGGAGAAAGAAAAAATGGGCCTGGCAATAGAGTTGATTGAACTGGCTGAAGGACACCGTGGGGAACTCAAGGAAAATAGGTTTATTTCTAAGGAAAATACAGGTCGGGAGGTCCTCAGGTCGGGAGGTCCTCAAGACGGAAAGTCATCAGGACGGAAAGTCCGCAGGTCGGAAAGACCTCAGGTCGGGAGGTCCTCAGGTCGGGAAGTCCTTAGGTCGGGAAGTCCTCAGGTCGGGAGGTCCTCAGGTCGAAAAGTCCTCAGGACGGAAAGTCCTCAGGTCGGGAGGTCCTCAGGTCGGGAGGTCCTCAAAACGCAAAGTCATCAGGACGGAAAGTCCGCAGGTCGGGAGGTCCTCAGGTCGGAAAGTCCGCAGGTCGAAAAGTCCTCAGGACGGAAAGTCCTCAGGTCGGACAGGTCGGGAGGTCCTCAGGTCGGGACTCTGCGGCTGGACCAATACGGTTGTAGATTGGCAGTCGGGCCAAAAGGGCGGAAGGTCTGTGGTCGGTTCAAAGAGTGAAATATAGTGATAATTTTGGTCTGCTGAGGACACGTGTCAGCAGGAGAAGGGTTGGAAGACGGTTGGAAAGGAGACGTTGTAACCGTTCGGGCGACGGTTTTCAGTACAGTTTCTTCAAAGAATATTTAAGGGTTTGGATCATCATTTGGCAAGGCATCTTCAATCAACTTCAACAAAGCAAAGTCAAATTTGGGGATCACCACTTTAAATTTCAGTCTTTTATTTTCCAGTTTATTTTCTGTACCATACAGTGTTTAGAGATTCCTAATCTCAGGCACTAATTAATCAAGTTTAAGGATATTTTCTATATCTTTGAATTTTACTTTATTTTTGTTGAAAAATTACATCAACAATTATTTTTGTAATTTATATTTTAAACAATAATTAGATAATTAAGTCGAAAGAAAACACATGGTAAAAAAATATGTAAAAAAAAAAATATTGCATTTTTTTAATATTTATAAGAATAACTCAAGAGATATAAGCAAAACCAACCATGAAAACTTTAGAATCCGATTATATAATTAAAAAAAAAATGTTTTATTTAATATTTTTTTATTTTATTAAATATTAAAAATAAAACCAAAATTTCACAAGCGAGGAAAAGCTAAAAATATATGTTCTACATCCGTTTAAAATGTCATTATTTTTTAACTGTATACTAAATGTATATATATTGAATTTATAATAAATAATTTTATTCGTTTGTAATTTTATTATTCTTATTTTAACGAATATAACTAATTTATCACAACTTTTTATATTATTCTATCATTTTTTTTTTATCAATTTTTAATAAATAATTTTATATTATTTTTAATTTATTTTTAATTTGTTTCATTTTAATATTAAAATATTATTATTTTTAATTTTTATATTCAAATAAATTAATATAAATTTATTGGACTTTCTGAGTATCGACTAGTCTACTCAATGTAACTATTAACATTATTTTTATAATTCTTTTAAAAATATATATATTTTTCTATAATTAAAATTAATTTTAATAATATTACAATAATTGAGGCATGTATCATCATCCTTCTATGATTGATGGGGTTGAACGACCGGACCGGCAGATCTGGACCCGACGATCCTCTTCCACAAAAAACTTTTTAATTTACATTTGTTTTTTTTCATTTCTTTTATTTTTTTAAATTAATATATTTTTTATTTTTATATTATATACACAATTCTTTATATTTTATATTTAAAAGAAAATTCAAGCCAAAACACAAAATTTTTATTTTATTGAAATATTTGAATTTAGACGTCTGTTATGTGAGATGGGTGAAAAAAAAATTATGTGAAATATAAATAATTATGTAGAGAATATAAAAATAATGAATGTGTGTGATGTATTAATTATTTTTTAAAAAAAAATATGTAAAAGGAAAATTAGAAAGAACAAAGCTATTTAAATAGATATTTTTATAATTTTTATACTAATAATTAATACTTTTTTTTTCAAAATAATAATAATAACAAACATAAATAAAAAATATATGATGTAATTCTTTTACTTCATAAAATATTAATTTATTCCTATTACTAAAAAATTTAAAATCTTGATACTTAAACAAATTCTTATATAAATGGAGTCTTTTCTTTCACGATTTCAAAAAAATATATTTCTCTAAAAAAATATATATATATTTCCTCTGTTCCACCATCGTCCATATTATTGTTCTGTATATCTCATATTTTATATCACTTTTATTTTTTAAAAAATTATTACTGATCGTAATCTCATTTTTATATTTTCTAAGTTATATATTTTTAATTTTAATTAGATTAATTTGTTTTCTTAATTTTAATTTATAATTATTTACAATATAGAATAATTATTTTTAGTAATATATTTTTAATTATTTACTAATTATATTTATCCTAAATAACTTGTCTACAGTAACTCGGACATGTTAAGTGGAACGGATTGAAGCATATTATGTACATTCATTATTTTTATATTATTTACACAATTCTCTATATTTCACAATAAAAAAAAAAAAGTATATTTTCAAACAATTTCGCTTAACAAACACAAATTTATAATATAATTATGTTACAAGGGCAAGCTATTGGTTGTGTTTTATTGGGATTTCTTTTCAATATTTTTACTATTAAATATTTTTTACTTTTATATAATAATAAAATTAATTTTATATTAAAATATCATAATAATATTTATTTAGATTCTATTAAAATTTTAATTTTTTATTATTTAAAATTCATAGTATTTAAAGTTCAAATTTCACTTAACACCTTCTTTTTAAAAAATAAAGTATTTCTTTAGTAGAATTGTTAAACGAGTCGAGCGAGTTTGAATATCGATTATTCGAGTTCCATTCGAATTTGTTAACGGTACAAACTCAGTTCGATTCGTTAAGAATTCGATCCAAAATAGTGGTTCAACTCCATTTGAATTATATATATTATATATTTTTAATATATAAAATAAATATATTTAATTGTATTCATAATTTTTATAATAAAATATTCAAAATTTAATAATAAATGTAAATTTTGATGTAAAAATTATATATCTTATATTAATATATAAATAATATAAATGTATTACTACTAACTAGTTCAATTAAGCTACTCACGAGCCGAGCTTAAACACGACTCGGTTATCTCTATAAAAAAAAGCCTAGTCGAGCTATTAATGAGCCGAAACTACTCAGTTTCCTTTAACAACTTTATTCCTTAGTCTATTAAATTTATACTAGTAAGTTTTTATTTATTTATTTATAAAATATATTTTTTTCGATTCCACCTTCTATGTCAAATATTTGGTAGATAATAAGAATTTTGATAAAATATAATAAATAAATAATTAAAAAATATATTAACAAAATTAATTATTATACTTTTCCGTCCAATGATAATCTTCTCATTTGACTTTTGCATACGCATTAAAAAAAATTAGTATTTTATAGATAATAATTAGTATTTTATAAATATGTAGTGTTAAACTTAATGTAATATCTATTTTACCCTTAAAAAATAATGTGAAAAAAAAATTGGAGTATGTTGGTATTTAATTGAAAGTTATTTTCTTAAAAAAAATGAAAAATTTTAATTTAGACAGACTAAAATAGAAAATGAGAAATTTAGTAATGGACCGATGAAGTATAATATAAATAATAATAAATTAAGACAATTAATTAGTTTAATTAAAATGAAAAAAATAATTAATTATAATTTAAAATATAATTAAAATATATAATATATTGTTTTTAAAAAAATAACTAATAATATGGTCGGTAAAAAGTAAAATATAAGGGTGTGTTTCTCCTCAGTTTTGAGCTGAATTATTGTGAAACTGTTTGCTAGTTTTGGACTAAATTACTATCCAAGTGCTTGATTACTGTGCAAAGTAATCCAGCTCAAAACTGGGCCGATGGCAAACGCTGACAGCCTCTGTTTTTTTTTTTTTTTAATTATAAATATAAAAAAATTTATAATAATTATAATTTTATAAAATATATAAAAGAATAAAATTATAATACAAATAAATAAAAAAATTTAGAAATATATAGGTATAATATAAATATTTAATCAAATTATACAAATTAATACACATTTATATTATTATATTTATTACCATCAAATTAATACACATCAAAATTTTTCAAATCCAACCCAAAATTGAACACAAAATAAACACCTAAATTGAAATTTGCCACCTAAATTTCCCCAAACATCCAAAATAAACACACCCTAAAATGGTAAACAAATAAAATGAGCAAAATATATATTTTTATTTATATTATTCAACCTGCGGTTCTGCCTGGGTAATGGCAGTAAGTTAGCATGTCATAAAAAAAAAATAAAAAAATAAAAAAAAGAGAAAAAAAACAATAAAAAATTGTCCAACTTTGTTAAGTCATCAAGAAATGAAAATACGTTTAAAATTAAATACAACAAATTGTTCGTTCCTCGCTGGCTCCGTCGCCGTCGCACAGGATAGAAATATCTCCCTGGAAGTAAACGCCGATGGGTACGACGGCCGCCGCAGTGGAGGAGGAATCAGAATCCGCGGCGCTCTTAATCCCCGAGGAATCGAATTCGGAAAAAATTCCGACAGATTCATTCCACTTCGTCTACATAATCTATTTCTCCTTAGGGGCGGGGTACCTCCTGCCATGGAACGCGTTCATAACGGCTGTCGACTACTTCACCTACCTCTACCCCGACGCATCCGTAGATCGTGTGTTCGCCATTGTTTATATGCTGGTTGGGCTCACGTCGTTGCTTCTCATCATCGCGTTTGCTCACAAATCCAGCTCCGTGGCGAGAATTAATTTAGGTTATGCGTTGTTTCTGATTGCGTTGGTGGCGGTGCCGCTGATGGATACCTGGTATGTGAAGGGGAGGGTGGGGGTTTATGGAGGGTACTATGCGACGGTGGCGGTGGTGGGGTTGAGTGGACTGGCTGATGGATTGGTGCAGGGCGGCGTTGTGGGGAATGCCGGAGAGTTGCCGGAGAGGTATATGCAGGCTGTAGTCGCCGGAACTGCTGCTTCTGGTGAGTAATTCTTTGTCACTTTCGTTTTCCTTCTGCGGAAAGTTTTTCGATTTCTTTGTCCTTCGAATTTTGATGTTTGGGTTGTTTTTTTAAGCAATTTTGGATTTTTTTTAGTTTTTAGTTTTTTATTTTTTATTTTTAATTAAGTTTTTGATAAAACATAGCTTCAGATCTGAATGATTTTTGCCATTGGTTGTTATGTTATGTTATGGAGCTGTAGATTGCAACAGTGCAAGTGTAAAGGAAATGATGAATTGATGGATCGAAAGTTCATTTTGCTTCTCACAAAAAAAATAAAAAATAATAATAATAAATCCCTTGTTAGACTCAAAATTGTGTTCCAAAAATGTCTTTTCCTAACCTTTATCATTTGCTATCTATGTTAGAAACTATGAATTTGATTCTACTGGTTTGTTGGTTATCTGTGATCAATTTTTGTAGAAAACACAAGCTATGATTTCTCACATTTCTAAATCTTGCTGGGTTGTATTTTAATTTATTTATTCTTTTGTGTATATATAGATATATATTTTTTGGTTTGGTGATTGTTGGAAGTGTTAGTTGGTTCTTGATTGAATTATTTTATGAAGGATGGGTGATCTTGATTGACTGTTGATCAAGAAGTCCAAAGATAAGAATATTTAATGTCGAATTTGATCCTACATTTGGAATAGCTTTACTGGATCATTGCTGTCTTCTTGAGCTATGGAGTCTTATAGATCTGGTATGGCTTAGTTTCAGTTGACCTATATTTGAGTTGGTTGGAAGGAATTTCATATTCGAGTAAGTTTGAAGCTTTGTTCTTAGTATGAGCTGTTCCTTAGTTGAGTTAATCTACTTGGCTTGTGGGCAACTCAATACAAGGATTGGTGAGAAACTCAATAATAACAATAATAATAATGATTACGAACAGGTTAAGCTTTTGATATTCATGCTTGAAGGCACAAGAAGTATAGGTTTTCCAAGAAGATAATAGGTTCTTTTAACCAAGTACTTGATATTCTCATTTATAAGACCTAAGTTATGCTTATCAAGTTCTGTAGAGCCTATAGTTTATGGTAGTGATGACTCAAGTGATACTCAAATTGAACACAATTTAAGTTTTAGCTTTTGAAAACATAAGTACTGAAGTTCTTTTAAACTAGTACATGATATTCATATTTACAAGACCTTATTTATGTTTATCTAGTTAGTAGATCCTAGAGTTTATGATAGCGATGGCTACAGAGATACTCAAATTGAACACAATTTAATTTTTAGCTTTTGAAAACATAAATACTGAAGTTTTTGTCGGAAAAGGTGTGTAAGTTGTGGGCTCAATTCTGTGGTGCTGCTTGTGTGTACGGTTATTAACTTCAGGAATTTTATGTATGCTAATCATCGTTGCTATGTTATAACCTAGATGTGCATTTCACACAGAAGAACTCAGAATACAAGGATGTTAAGTTTTGTTAATGTATTTTTTCCTGAGACAACAACAAATTAAATTTCCTATATTGTTATATTGACTTGATTCCATTCTTTTTTGTTTCTAGAGAGTCTTTCATTGTGTGTGGATTCCACCAAATCTCCGCCGTTCTTTATCTGTTGCGCAGATACACTTTAGTATTAATAAAATGCATAGCATGTGATTCCTCTAGGAATATGATAGTTTAACATCGAGATTGATGTGATTGTAATAGCAGGGAAACTGAGAGATTGTGCTCTGGATACAATGAAATCTTTAAAGAAAAGTGATTAGCAAATCTATTTTGAGTTGAAACTTCATGATGCTTCTTAAGTTGCCAAATCTGACCTAAAAAGACATTTGCAACCATTTTAAGGTGGGACTTGTGTTTGACTGCTATCATGTAGCAATTCCTTATCTGTTTTAAATTGCAAGAATTACTTATGATCTTATGCAATGTTTCCTTTTTCCGGATGTCATAGTAATTACGAAATGTTGTTTGATACATCAATTGAATAAGGCTCTCTGTCTCAGCATTTATTACCTTATTGCTTGGTTATACCTAATTAGTCTTTTATCTGACCTGATTAAGGAAACTTAACTTTTACCGAATGTACAGATTATAAACTCGGCCATTTGTATACCGAATGTATGCAAATTTGTATTGGTAATCATTTTAACTTGAACTGAGAAAAATTTATTTCAATGCACAGAATATTAGTTTAAAACATAGAGTAAATGCTACAAAATGTAGATTGTTTGCCTTGAACCAACTGAAAATGTTTTCTAGAACAAAAGTGCAGTAACTTGAAGGGCTGAGCTTCAAATTATTGGAACAAATGTTCGTCCTAATTCAAGTTCGACAGTATATTCATCCAAATGTCTGCAAACTAACTACAAACAATTCCATCTTGTTGGAGTGCAGGTGTTCTTGTTTCGATCCTCCGAGTTTTCACCAAGGCTTTATACCCTCAAGATACCAATGGACTAAGACAAAGTGCCAATCTATATTTTATTGTCAGCATTGTTGTGATGGTGTTGAACGTCGTTTTCTATAATCTGGCGCATAGGCTTCCGGTTATCAAATACTACAACAATCTGAAAACTCTGGCAGCAAACGAGGAGAAGGAGCAGAGGGGAAATCTCACAGGAAAGCTCTGGAGATCAACGCTATGGGACATTGTCGGGGCTGTGAAGTGGTACGGTGCAGGCATCGCAATCATTTACGTTGTAACATTGAGCATTTTCCCTGGATCGGTTACAGAAGATGTGCATTCAGCTGCTCTTAAAGACTGGTACCCGATCATCCTAATTGCGGGATACAACGTGTTCGATCTGATCGGTAAATCATTAACAGCAGTGTACCTTATGGAGAATGCGAAAGCTGCCATAGGTGGATCCTTCGCAAGATTGTTGTTTCTGCCACTTTTCTACGGCTGCTTGCACGGTCCTGAGGTGATGAAATCGGAGATTCCGGTGACAGTGTTGACGTGCCTTCTTGGGCTTACGAACGGGTACTTTACGAGCGTGCTGATGATTCTGGCGCCGAAGAGTGTGGTGCTGCAACATGCCGAAACCGCGGGGATTGTGGTGGTTTTGTATTTGGTTGCTGGTTTGGCTATCGGTTCCATCGTCTCGTGGTTTTGGGTGCTGTGATTCATGCCTAAATCTGTTGTTCTACTATTATTTCTCCTTCCTTCGGACAGGTATTTCTATTTCTTCTAACTGTATAAATATGACATATGTTTCTCTTTATTTCCTTCTTGCAATGAACTTTACAATGCTCTCTCTCTCTCTAGTTCTTTAGAATGGATCTTGTTGTCATCTAGGATATTAGTTATCTGTGTACTTGGTCAATTGTTGTTGCAATGAAGATAAGATTAAGATCATAAGGTTCAAATATCCAAACCTGAGCTAGCCTTCACTCACAAAACGTATGTATTGCGATAATTTTAGTGTCATTAGGTAATTTTAGGTGATAGTGATTTGCTCAAAGAACGAAGATATTCCATTTTGTTTCGAAGACACTTCTGTTTAGGGTTCAAGGGGGTCGTGCCCCCTTGTAGGGTCCAAGGGTTGGAGCCTATGTGTCATGGGTTAACTTCTTCCACTCGAAGTAACCGTGCGTTCCTTAGCAACTCACTTCCGTCGGCTGCTAAGACAGACTTCCCAACTCGGTCAAGCACCACAAAAGCCAAAGGCTTTCTAGAGAGAAACAAGAGAGAGAAAGTGTGGAGAGAAATTTTTTTGATTGCTAAGATTTGGATGATTTACAAGTGAAGTGCAATCACCTATTTATACAAGTCAATTGAGTAAATGCTATCTCCCAACCACCGTATTAATGTCATCTATCAACTATCAACCATCAACCTCAACTACCTCATTAATGCAAAGTTCTAGTTTTATCTACCACCTTCCGGAACATTCTAAAAGATGCTAGTGAGTTTGAGTGAAATGTTTGGCATAATGAAAAAGTGCTAAGTATAGAAAAATCACTGCCAAGTGACCGCTCAAAAGTCCGACCGTGACACATGGCTTCAATACTACTAGTAGTTTTTCTTAGAAAGTTAAACAATCGATTGCCGGTTGAGGTGGGACTTCTAATCTATATGGCTGCAGATCCTGTGTTGATTCGTTCAAGTCAGTATAGTGCTAATTCGGTCAAGTCAGTACGGTGCTGATTTAATCGGTCAGCATATACCATATGGATGACCAGCTTATGTTTATACATATTAAGTCTATGTGTTATAAGATACTAGAGTTATAATATATGTGTATTATAAATATGCTGAAAAATGTATAAATATATGGTGGTCACCCCTGATCCGGTCAAATCAACGCAATACTAATTTGACTATCTAATATGTATATATCAACAGAGAAAGAATAGTCCTGTACAAAATGACCAAACAAGACTGTTGGCCCGACTGTCGGGTATAACCGATAATAGGATACAGTGAAATGACGACGAAGTTCAAATGAAACGATGCATCCTTTCTCAAAAGTCATTTCTCCCTATGTATAGTTTTAGTCTTGTAAACAATCAAACATAGTAGAAATATATTTCGTTTTCACATCTTGAAATCATAAGCTTACTCTTATTTTGATGCCAAAACAAAGTAGGAGTCAATTTCGTTAGATAATTCAAATACAACTTTCAAAGAAATATGTCTAAAACATATAGATCCAATTCGTTTACCTAGGTCTTAAATATCGACTCTTTTTACCTTATTATATCCGAATATCCTAAAGGTTAACAATAAGTTGTAGTTGTGAAAATTATGGTTGAAGATGCCTCGAACAAGATATTCTTTGTCGATTATTCTAATAATTACATAGTGGTCGATTCTTAACTAGTTATGGACCAATTCTACGAACTTCTGCACATTTTGGGAGAAGTCCCTTAACACAGTTTGAGGATTATTAACAAATTGTCATAGTCTTGAAACATAAATCAAGAGAATGATAAGAATCTAAGACTGATTATATATCTTTATTAAAAGATTTTAAACTTGTTCCTAATTAAACTTCCAATCATATGGTAACTTGGACCTTGTTTTCTTGCCTTCTATGTTAGTCGGGTATTGAAATAGAAGGAATTATAGTTCATTCAAAATGCAATGGAATCAAAAACAAATCTACATGATTTCATACAACACAGTCTCCGATTGAATTCAACAATTTACATGTATTCGTACAACACAATTATGTATTTTTATGTAACACGGTCATATATTATTTGTTTTAATATTGTTTGTTGTTTCCCACTTTATACTAAATGCGCTCTCAGCATTGTGCTGAATTTTTTAAAATTGTTATGGAGTTGGGTAAAGTCAAGGTCTATAATAGAAGAGGGAGAAGCACCGTAGTCACTTAGGTTAATTATTATTTTATTATTTATTATTTCTCTTATTATTTTATTTACTGTTTAATGGTTGATTATGAGTCTTGGGTTTGGCCCATATGTCCGCCTATATATAGGGCGCATCTAGATCATGTTAGATTAGGACAATCATTATTTTCGTTTTGGTTAGAGAGAGGACATGACATAAAATTATTATATATATATATATATATTATGTTGGCTTTAACTTGAGAAACGTGCATAATCGAAAGTAAAAGATTGGAGATTGTGTGGAAGATCATATCCCATTTGGGCAAATATTTAAGTCCATAGAATCAAATAAAATAGAACAATGAGCACAAGGCAAGGCTAGCTCCTATTCATATCGTTTTCCTTTGTACTCCTATACTTGTCTTTTAGGTTCAATTAAAATAACTCTTGTTTAATTTTTCGAGTAAATTGGGATGTATTTGTATTTATATTTTGTGTTTGCATAATAATTTGATCTTGCAAATCCCAAACTTGTTCTATCGAACAACAATAATCAAACAACATACATTTTTGTTATTATAGAGTTTAGTATAACAGACTCAATACATATGCGTTCGAGACTAAGGTATATATTTTGGGTGTGATTGGTAACTAGCTGATAGCTGGTAGCTGATTCAATTAGCCGGTTTGACTAGCTGATTAGATTAGCTGGTTGTAAACAACTATTTGATATTAGTTATTTATATGTAAAATGACAATTGAGGACATTTCAATTTTTTTTTCTAATATATTAATTGTGTTTTTTGAGTTTAAAATGTTTGAAATTTTTTGTTATTAGTTATTGAAAATGATAAAAGTGTTATGAAATAATATTTATTTTTATTATAGTTAGATTTGAAAAATAATATATTTTTATTGAAATATATAAATAGTTTTTTCTATTGAAAATGATGTAAAATATAAAATAATAAATTTTTTGCATATATATTTATTATGTTAATTATCGATTAGTTCATTATATTTACAATCTTTTAATAAATTTAATTTATTTTTAAATCTATATAATGTAATTTTAATATAAAAATAAATTATTAATATTTATATTTTCTATTTTATGTTGATTTTAATAAATTTATATATTTTATAATTAAAAATAATTTATATATAAAAATTAATTATTTTAAATTTATAAAAGTAACACTATAATATAATAAAATATTCTAATATAATTAATAAATAATCAAAATATATTTATTGTGTAAAATATATAATAAATTTTTAAAGTAAATTTAAACTGAAAAAATTATTCAAAACTTTGAGTAAGTTATCTTTTCAGAAATTAGTTTTTTTGGTAAAAAAAACTATTCCAAAAAAATTAATTTACCAAACACATTAGCTTTTTCAATGGTCTGTTTGTTTGGAGGTTTCGATTTTGAGTTGGAATTTGAATAGTAAAAGTTTTGAATTTGAATAGTTGTATGATGTGATGTAAATAGGTGTTGATGTGATATTTTGAATGTAAAATTGATTTTTAGTATAATATAAAAAATAAAAAATAGGTGTTTGATTTGATATTTTTGGGGGGAAAAAATTGGATGAATAGTGAAAAAAAAATCCAATCCCTCAAACAAACACACCCAAAAGCTCTTTAATAAAACTATTTGCAAAACACCCTCTTTATCATTTTTTTTGTTCAAATCAAATGTATCAATTTTCTTTTTTAATAAAAATATCTCCTAAAGAAATACCAAAATATTCATACTTTTTACTATTTATAAAATATTCATATACCTGAATCTACGCCAAATAAGTACCTTTCACTCAGACGAAAGTAGTATAATATTTTATTAGATAAACATTAATCTATGGAAGAGCATGGGGATTATGGGTGTGTTTGGTTGTAGCTTCAAATCAAAATCAATACAATTTTATCCTACATGATTTGATTAAAAATATGTTTTTTTCTTTCATAAATATCACTTAAAAATATTATTTAAATAAAAATTTAAATTAACACTCCAAATCAATTTTAAACAAAAACCATAGAGTAAAAAAAAATGTTAAAAGAGTGAAGTAGATATGCTTTATATATAGGGATGTTTTTGTTGTTGAATTTTCTTTTAGCTAACGTTATTTTAAAGTAGAGCGAGCCAACAAAAAAGGAGTGGTCTAATTTTTGGGAGTTCTATAAGTAATACCGAAATAATTTTATCAATCTTTATATATTTTATAAAAAATTTAATTTTATCCGAAATTAATATATCATTTTTCAAATAGTTATGCACAATAAGATTTAAATTAAAATTGTCAAGATAAATTGAGAAATCTAGTTAACTCAGAGCACAAACTGTGACCGCACTTTAGACGGCTTTTGTGTCAGTGTCGACGGCTTCGTTCAAGCCGAAAATCTCCCTCCGTAGTGACTTCAATTCCAACCCTAAACATTGATGTTCAATCGCCGTCGCCTAGTGCAAGTGAAGCTCTTCGGAAGCTTTTTTTTCTTAAAAAATTTAATGTACAAATCGGGCCGAACCGAACACAATTCAACTTTGATGGGTCCGGGTACAACCCGGTTTAGACTCATTCCGGGCCAGGCATGGCCCGAATTCCTACGGTCTATTTTTTCAGGTTAGGTTTTCAGACCGTGCCTATTTTTGTCGCTCGGCTCTAGCGGAAAGGCATTTTCTCATGTTGACTATTGCTTGTACTCTCTTAACTCTCTATTTAATGAATTTTGACAGGGTTAAACAACAATTTAAAATGAGTGGATTCAATTCTGATTTGATAGTTTTATTTTTAATATTTTAAAAATAAATAGTTGTTGGTTGTAATATTTTATACAAATACAAAATAAATATAATAGTGTTTTAAAAATTAAAACATTGAATAGTTAATTTAGTAATTTTTTTTTTAAACAAAAAAAAATCAAATTTAATGAATCCATTGTAACATTTTTAAAAATA